GGACAGTGGTTAGCCACCATGTAGGTGCTGGCAATGGAACCCAGGTCTTCTGCAAGAGCAGCCAGTGCTCTTAACTGCTGAGCCATCTCTCCAGCCCCAGATAGCTCCTTATTTATGGTGCATTCCTACAGTCAAATTCTGTGTCAATAGAAAGAATGAGGCAACTGGGCCTGGTGGCACAGGTCTGCAGTCCCCGCAACTTGACAGGCTGAGGCAGGAGGCTAGCAAGTCCAAGATCAGCCTGGACTATAATAAGTTCAAGGCCAGCCTGGGCAATGTGACTGTCTCAAAATAAAAAAGTTAAGAGTGCTGGGGATCTCTCAGAGGCCGTGCATTTGCTTAGCCTGCATGATTCTGGGTTCAGTACCCAATCCTGGGGGAAAAGAGGAGGCAGCTCTGTGTATCCTAATGTGGGATGACTTCCCAGGTAGTTCTATACAGGGGAAAAGTAATATAGATGTCATCACTTATGCGAATGAATATATATATACCCTTTAAATTTTTTTAAAATTTTATTATTTGTGTGTGTGTGTGTGTATATGTGTGTGTGTGTGTGTGTCTGCCACAGCACAAGTGGGGAGGTGAAAGGGTAACTTTCAGGAGTTGGTTCTCTTTCCACTGTGGGTCCCAGAGATCAAACTCAGATTGTCAGGGCTGTGTGGAAAGCCTGCTGAGCCATCTCACCGGCCCTGAAGATGTACATAATCTTATATATACATTGAACAGCCCTGAAAAAGTTATACAAGAAACTGAGAACAGTGCTAGTCTCTGGGGAGAAGCCATGGGAGTCGGGGTGGGAGGGTTGGTGGACTGTGTGGGGGAGAGGCAGCTTTTTACTCTGCACCCTCTGTACCATCAGGTATTTGCACATTTATTTTGTGTTCACATGATAAACATGTAGGTAAAGATTCCACTTTAATAACCTGTTAACCTTTTAGAAAGAGTTCCCTGTCAAGTGTCCACAAAGGGGTCTAAATGGAGCATTACAAGTAGTGAGAACCAAGCAAAGACACCTTCCACAAGTGTCAGAAATTATTAATAAAAAATTCACATGCTACATCAGTTTTGTTGGCTACAAGTTGCCAAGTGTATCAGTCCAGGTTTTGTTGCTGTGATAAACACTGTGCCCAAAAGCAAGTTGGGGAGGAAAGGCTTTATCTCATCTCACAGGTTACAGTCCATCCTGGAAGGAAGCCAAGATAGGAACTCAAGGCAAGAGCTTGAAGCAGAAACCTCTGAGGAGCAGCTTACTGCCTTATGACCCTGACTTAGCTAGCTTTTCTTTTTCTCCCCACCCCCCACCAGTTAGCTTTCTTTTTAAAAAAATATTTTATTTATTGTTTTTGTTTTATGTGTACGAGTGTATTGCCTGCATGTATGTGAGTGCACCCGTGTCGTGCAATGCGTCGGAGGTCAGAAGAGGGCTTTGGATTCCCCCGGAAGTGAAGTTAAGGACGGCTCGTAGTTGCCATGTGGGTGCTGGGAATCGAACCCTGGCTCTCTGCAAGAGCAGTCAGTGCTCTTAACTGCTGAACCACCTCTCCAGTCCCTCCCCGGTTAGCTTTCCTACACAGCCCAGGCCCACCTACCCAGAGGTGGCACCACTCACCAGTGGGGCTGGGTCCTCCTATGTCATTTAGCAATCAAGAAAATGCTCCACAGACATGGCCACATGTGTGGCCACAGGCCAATCTGATGGAGGCAATTTCTCAAATGATGTTCGCTCTTCTGAGTATGTCTTGGTTTTTGTTGTTGGCAAAAACTAATGAGCACACCAAGTCATTCCGATTTTGCTTGAGAGCTGACACTGTTGGCAATCATAAATTCTTTTATTCTGATCTTAATTTCTTTTTTTTTTTTTTGAAGCAGCCTCACATTGTGGCTCAGGCTGGCCTGAAACTCACTATGTAGCCCAGGCTGGCCTCAGACTCATGACATGCCTTCTGCCTCAGCCACATGAGTGCTGAGATTACAAACATGGGCCACCACTCTCAGCAGCCTGCTTTTTCCAATATTAACACATTACACTTCACATAATTATATATACAGGTTGCAGATGGCTAAGAAAGAGGCTGTAGAGTTCAGACAGGCTGTATTGATGTTAGAGACACAGACTCTAGGGAAAGTCTATAGCAGACCAGATAAGAAGTCTTTTGACCTTGAGGCACATAGCTATTCCATACAGGGCTGTCAGACGTTGGTCTGGGTGGCAGGCTATTTCGAAGGTCATTTTGGGGCAGCTTGAATGTCATGGGCAGGAGAAACTGTGTTTGAGCTGGTACCTAGGGACAGAGATGGAGTCCTCCACTGTGAGACTTTTCCTGGAGGAGGCTCATGGTGAGTGACTACGTGACTGGTCAACGTGCCTGCCACAGTCAGTCTTGGGTTGTTCCTTCTTTTATAGTCTAAGGTGAGGGGTTTTACCTAGTGTGACTGATAAGCTCATGGGCCTGGTGTTTCCGATATGATGTGATAAATTTGCAGATGTCTGGTAATTGATTTGTGTCTCTCAGGTGTTGGCAGATGGTAGCTGTTTACATGTGTAAACAAGATGTAGAATCATTCTTCCTCAGCATTTATACTCAAAATGGGATAACAGGTCAAGGCTGTTGCTTAACAAGGTGGAGTCATTCAAGGCTTGGCTCAGCCTTTTTAAAAGCTGCTATTCTACACAACAAGGAGTCAGCCAGAGCAGGTCCAGCCTGTGTTCCTCATGGTGTCAAGAGTTAAGCAGAAAATCTACCTCTCCTCCCTTCTGCCCTTTCTTTCCCTCTCTTCTCCCTCTCTCCACCTCTCCTTCCCATTTTCTCTCTTTCTTCCTCCCTTTTCTTTTTTGTTGCTGTTACTTTTTCTGGTTTTGACTTTTTGAGATAGGGTCTCCCAATAAAGCCCAGACCATTCCAGAACTTGTGATGCTCATGCCTTCACCCGAGTGCTGGGGTTACGGGTTTGCGCCATCACATTGGGCCCACTGCGTGCTCCTTTTCTTACTGCTATTTTGAATTTTTGCTTACTGAGTTTAAGCCTTTCTGTCTTAATGGTGGTCCTCCTTCTCCTCCCTGGCCAGGTGTCTCCCAGGCTCCTGTTTCTGAACCCAGGACTCTGGAATGGGCAGCACCAGCCCACCACACACTGAGCTTCAGAGTCGTAAGTCTCCCCCTCCTGGCTTCCTCTACCTGAGCAGCCTGAGCACCTGACACCCCCTGCCATCTTCTTGGTGTCCGCTCCTAGTTAGGCATCAAAGTGTTGCCCTCTTAAAGGCTCCCCAAAGCCCCTCACTGGCACCCTTGACCACACTCTCACAAGGCCTGTCGGATTGTGAAGACCTAGGTTCTGGAGCCAAGGAGGGGGCTTGAGTCCAAGTCTTTGTGACTGTATGACTTTAAGCAAAGTCCCCCACTCTTGTCCTCAGACTGGGGAATGACAATGTACACTACAGGTATGGCAACAGTACCACCAGGTGTTAGGGTTCAGATCACAGCAGCCCCGCCCCCTCACCAACAGGGCCTCAGGGGTTCTGGAAGCCCCTGAGATAAGCACCCTGGTCTTTGAAGTCAAAAGCAGACTTTTCTGCACAGTTTGGCCAGCACAGCAGGCTTCCCCTTTGATCTCAAAAGCGGGGCAGGTTTTAACAATCCTGCTCTCCTGCTCCTCCCCATCTTTAAAAAATACCTTCCCTGGCCAGGCGCATGCCTTTAATCCCAGCAGGGAGGCAGAAGCAGGTGGATCTCTGTGAGTTCAAGGCTGGCCTGGTCTACATAGTGAGTTCCAGGACAGCTGGGGCTACAGGGAGACCATGTCTCAAAAAAAAAAAAAAATTTTCCCGCCTTCTGCACCCTAGGAAGCCTCCCCCTATAAAAGACACCGGCTCACGACCCGTGGGCGGACATTTTTCCCTCCCCAGAAGAGAACTTGTCCATGCGAAATAAAACTCTGTTCTGCTGGAGTTTTATCTGTGTCCTGGTGCTTTCTCCCAATCAACCAGCTTCTTCATCTATCACTAGGGAGTAACCACAGTAATGTTTAGGATGGTCCCTGGAGCCTACTAAGGGCTCCTTAAACAGCTGGGGGGAGGGCCTCCAGGGCGTGCCACTTCCAGCCCAGCAACCTGTAGTACCTTCTGAGCACCATTTGGGTGTGTTGCCTTGAGGGAGGGGACCCATGACCCGTGGCCAGTCTCGTCCAGTGCCTTGCTGGTCCTTGGTATGCAGATAGTTGGTTGGAACCCCAGGTTCTCCAGAAAGCCTGGCACATAAACCACTACCTTAGGTAAACGTTTGATGAATTTCAGGACTTTTCCCGGCAGTGGCCTAGCACATAAAGGTCAGTGGGGGAGACATTTAGTAATATGTTACTTTGGAGAGGGAGCAGCAGGGGAAGCTTTGGCAGGAACCCAGATGGGAGCCTGGAGTAGTGGTGCATGTCTTTATCCCTGCAAACCAGAGGCTATCCTCTGCTACACAGTGAGCTTGAAGCCAGTCTGCGGTACATGAGAGCCTATCTGAAAAAGGAAAAAAGAAAAGAACCCAGGTGGCCCAGGAACCTGCTGTGTGATCCCAGTTGGTGACATTAGTTCTGTGTACATTATCCATGGGGCCCTTCTGGGTCCCTATAAATCAGTGACCTGGTCACTATGTTGCCCTCAGAGCCCTCTTAGCCTTGAGAGCAAGTCACTGAACATCCCTCAGGTATCCACCTCATGGGTGGGAGGATGCTGGTGTCCTTGATATCTAATCATACACAATAGTTACTGTGGTGGTTGTTTTTGAGACAGGGTCTAGTTATGACTCTAGACTGGCCTTGAACTTGCAGTCTTGCCTCTGCCTCCGTTGTGCCGGATTACAAGTATGCACTGTCACACCTGACTCTGACCGTCCCTAGGCTATGTCGCTCTGGATGGCACACATAGACGGATGAGGCGCACTCGGAACCGTACGCAGCTTTCCTGAACTCTCACAGTTAACCCAGCCGCACCACTCTCGGTGGCTGGGGTCCCGCCCCCTGGCCCGGCCCCGCCTCCACTTCCGTAGCGTCGGACCCGGCTACTCCGGGCGAGTCCGCCGCTGCAGGCTGGATGAGAGCAGCGCGCCTCATGAAGGTGTTCGTCACCGGCCCGATTCCCGCCGAGGGCAGGGCGGCGCTCGCCCAGGCCGCAGAGTAAGAGCCCGCGTGGGTTCCGGAGCGCAGCCGACTGCCCGTCCACCTTAGCGGGTGTCCCCCGGACCCTGCGCCCGGTGACTCAGCGATCTCCAGGCGCGCTTTGGGGGCGCCCAGGGCGGGCTGGGGGCGAACTCCCCGACCCCGGTGCCTGGCGGGAGGGTGAGGCGGAGCCAGGGTCCTGAGAGACTGGGTCTGGCGCGTGCGCTTTGGGCAGACTTGCCAGCTGTGCCAGGAGGGGTTGAGCTTGGAGTCGGGCAGGCTCAGAGCAAGTTCCGCACGGTGCAGCTTGCTGCAGACTCCTGCCTATGGCGTGGGATCTGGTGCCAGGGCACTGGACTCCAGCTTCGGAGAAGGGAGATAGCCCAAGAGGCAAAAGTCCCAGGCTGTGGATTTTACCCTCTGAAGTTAGCTGACAGGCGGCCGGGGTGGGGGTGGGGTGGTCAGGGACTGTGGCAGGTCTTGGCTCGACCCCCGTGGATGACTGACAGTGCTGATTGATGACTTAGTTTTTTCCCATTGAACCCTTTCTGTCTGCATATATGCAGACTGAATTCTCCCAACACTGTGAAGTCAGCATTATAATTCCTATGTTACTGATTCGAAAAAACCAGGCTAGATGGGTTAGTGCCTTGTCCCAGGGCCACATAGCTCCAGGTGGGGGACCTGGGCTTTGTACTTGGGCCTGTCTCATTGCAGTCTGACTTCTGCTTCTTGACAGCTTTGTACTCCCAGTGTGTCTGGGAGCTGAGACCCCCTCAGCAGTTAGTTCTGGGGTGCTGTATGGGATTTTTTTGAACTCAGTGCAGTACAAACTTTGCTGAGGACTTGTTTTGTGAGGACTCACGGTTCCTGGAGATACACGTTGACCTAGGCAGTGCCAAGACCCCCTCAGCAGTTAGTTCTGGGGTGCTGTATGGGATTTTTTTGAACTCAAACAGTGCAGTACAAACTTTGCTGAGGACTTGTTTTGTGAGGACTCACGGTCCCTGGAGATACACGTTGACCTAGGCAGTGCCAGCCACTGTCACACACACGTTTCAAAGCCCTGGACTGCCCTGAATTTAATGGCAAGGGCCCAGAAGATCCCTCACTTCCAGGGCTGCTAAGGAAGGGCACTCTACAGCTCCTACTGCTAGTTGGCCTTGAGCTGGCAAAATCCACAGGCAAAACTGGTCATTGAAGCTAAGCCCCATCAGAAATAGGACCCCCCCTCCCAACTCCCCCAGTGACCTCCCATCCCTGGCTTTCTCCATAGTTGACTGCCTGGAGGCCCCTGGGGTTCAGAGTGGCCCCTAGGAACTTCACTTTTCCACTTAAGCCCTGCTCTGAGAGACCCTCAGCTCTTGTCCACTTCTTCTGCCTTGGCTGCCCTTTATCCCCTACTACTCTCCAGACAGTTCTGAGGCCACCCATGTCTAACCCTGCCTCTGGCCAGCCTGAGACCAGAGCAAGTGGAAGACCATGCTTGGCAGCTGTAAGCATTTCTGGGGCTCCCCCGCATCCCCTCAGCGACTTCCATTCCCTTTAGCTGTGAGGTGGAGCAGTGGGATTCCGATGATCCCATCCCCAGGAAGGATCTGGAACGAGGTGTAGCAGGGGCCCACGGCTTGCTCTGCCGCCTCACTGACCATGTGGACAAGAAACTTCTGGATGCCGCAGGTATGTGCTGATCAGGTCTGGACTGGATTCTGAGGAGATCTTACCCAGTGGGCACATCAGTTGCTGCAGTTGGCCTTTGAACTTTTGAGCTTTTCCTTCCTTCTGAGGGTGTACCCTGTAGCAGCTCTACCTAGCATGGGTTGTCCCCACCTCCCTCCTGCTGTGAGTCCCTGAGAGGCTCCAGGAAGGCAAAGACTGTGTGGAGCGAGTAGAGGGCTGGAGGAGGGTACCCTTGGCCCTGAGCCTTCTCTTGCCCTGCCATGGCCTTGTTCTGAAACCTTGAGACCTTTCTAGGCAGATGGGAGGACCCAGCTCTGTGCCTGGCATGTGTGTGTACATTCCTGGTCACAGGTATTGGTCTTGGGAATGGGTGAACATCACCCTGTAAGTTGTACTATGACAGTTTGGAGAAAATTTTCAGCCCTAGAGGCTGCCAGATTCCATGCAGAGTCTCTCCAAGCCCTGACCTTGTAGACACTTCCTGGTAGAGGGTTTGAGGTCACATCCCAGCCACCTTCTCAGCACTTTTGGAGTGTCCCTGGGGAGGTCCCTGGTGTGACTGAAGGGGCCCCTAGGGACAGATGGGCAAATGCATGCATTTTCTGTACAACAGGAGCCAACCTCAAAGTCATCAGTACCCTGTCGGTGGGGCTTGACCACTTGGCTTTAGACGAAATCCAGAAGCGGTAAGTGTGGTGGGGGCTCTGGAAGGGGCCTGGAGTGAGGGCGGTCACCAGAGCTGGCAAGAGGAGCTCATGGCTTGCTTTGATGTCATTTGCCTCCATGATAATACACTATGGCTGATGCTAAGGTGAACATAACCCACTTGAATCTGCAAGGTCAGAGGCCATAGGTGACTTCTGTCTAGTGTCATCCTGTCATGTTTTCCAACTTTTCTGATCCCCACAACACTCTTGGAAGTAGAAAAGGCAAGCATTATTATTTCCCTTTCAAATGAAGAAATTCAGAAAAATTAAGTAGTTACTTGTTCCAGACCTTGAATGCTAATTGTCCATCTTCATATCCTTCTCACAATGGGAGATGATGGGTGTAAGGACTGGTGGTTCCTCAGTGCCCTCCTACAGAGGAAAGGAGCAAAATGGAACCGGAGAGATGGCTCAGTAGTTAAGAGCGCTGGCTGCTCTTGCAGAAGATCCAGGTTTCATTCCCACCACATGGTGGCTAATAACCTTTTGTAACTCCAGTTCCAAGGGATCCAACACCCTCTTCTGACCTTCATGGGCATTGCATGTACATGGTACATTTACATAAATGTAGGCAAAACACCCAATCACATAAAATTAAAATAAAGAATTTTTTTTAAAGGGAGCAAAGTAGCATCCTGGAAATGACCCACTAGTAGACACTGCTGAAGGTACTTGGGGCTGATGTTAACACCAGGTGTTTGATTCCTAGTGGGATCCGGGTGGGCTACACGCCAGATGTCCTGACAGATGCCACTGCAGAACTTGCTGTATCACTGCTACTCACCACCTGCCGCCGGTTGCCAGAGGCCATAGAGGAAGTGAAGAAGTAAGTGATGCTTCATGGGAAAGTCAGCAGTGGGTCCAGGGCTCCTGGCTCAGCCTGGTCCAGATGTGTCCCCTGTTGCTGAATATGCCTTATGGAGTGGGGCAGGTGCACTCTGCTAAAAGAATTGAAGTCCAAGGCAGGGCTACAGTGAAAGGGACAGGAAGGGAAGCTGTGAGAAACAAGGCTGTCTGGGTGGGGGAGCAGGGAGGAGTGGGTCCTGGCCCCTCACAGAGGAGGTGGCAGATAGGGGCTGAGCACGACGGAGCATGTGAAATCAACAAGCTCCAGGGCTGGAAGTGGCTTTGTGACCCAAACCTGCCCACAGTGTGGCTCTTCAATGTCAGAAACAGGGTGCTTCCCCAACCTGCCCAGGGCACTGTGTAGGGTCCTAGGGGCACCACACTGCCTTCCTAAAGTAGCTGATTCCCAGCCCGGCTCAAGGGCTTCAGGTGAGAATTCTACATCTGGTCCACTCAGCCCCAGGACAGGCCTTGTGTGTCAGAGGTTGCACTTGATTCAAGACCTTGTTCTGCAGTCTCAAATCCTGTTTGCAGTCTCTGCCCCTGACAGCCCTGGCAGTGAAGCCTCAAGCAGCTCACCCCTCTGCTCTCTCATTTCCCCATCTGAAAAAGTGGGTGAGCCCTTCTAAGACCCTTTGTGACCTCAATTTCTATTGGCTTCAGAGGAGCTGTTCTGCTGTGCTTGTCACTTGCCCTGTGACCTAGAGGCAGAATTAGACCTCAGACCAAGGCCAGGGGTGCCCAGAGTATGGATTCCCAGTGCCCCTTATCTCTGCCAGGTCAGGCTGCTCACCATCCCTCCTCCCCACAGTGGCGGCTGGACCTCGTGGAATCCCCTGTGGATGTGTGGCTATGGACTCTCCCAGAGCACTGTCGGCATTGTGGGCCTGGGGCGCATAGGTGAGGCTCCTGCTACCTTGTGACTCTCGATTAAGTCCCCAGTGCCACAGGCCTGGGTGCTGGGTGTCTTTTGTAGAGGGTGTGTTTGCAGCAAAGGAATAAATAAGCAATCCCAGGAGTTCCTAAGAACTTACTAGTCACAGGAGCAAGTTGCTGCCAGCCAGGATTCCTTTGCATTTCAGCTCCCCGAAGAACACAAAGCTGTAAGTGCTGAGCTGGCCTTAGGGGTGGGTTACTGTGGGAGAGCCCACACCTACCTCAGGCCCCGGGGTTCGGAGGCACTGACTGTGAAGCAGCCAAATGACTACTTGTCAGACTGCACGTGCCATTCTGCAGTCCCAGCTGAGCTGTTTCTCCCTCAGTGGTCCTTCCATGCCGAAGCCTGGTGAGAGGCCTGGGGCTCAGCCAGGTGGCTCTCTGGGTGCTGTTATCTTGCCTGTGCAGGGGCAGGCTGGGGGTAGAGAACAAGGGTAACCCGTCTGACCAGCCAGTGGTCCTGCCTTGATGGAGAGCTGCTTGGAGGAGTCTAATAACCTTCTGAGTCCGGGAACCCAAGTGCCCAAGCCTGTTGGCAGAAGCATGCATGAAAAAGTCTTATAGGTCTTGAGGGCCCAGTTGGGAACTGGGCAGTGACACCAAAAAGTCGAATGAGAAGGCTAGGCGTGGTGGCACATGCCTTTAATCCCAGCACTCAGGGAGGCAGAAGTAGGTGGATCTCTGTGAGTTTGAGGCCAGCCTGGTCTCCATAGTGAATCCAGGACAGCTGGGGCTACAGGGAGACCCTGTCTCAAAAAAAAAAAAAAAAAAAAAAAAAGAAAAGTCAAATGAGGTAGGGCTGTATTCACAGAAGCAGAGGGTCCAGAAGGAAGGAGGGGACTGCTTGACCCAGCATCTCCAGAGATGCCAGCTCCAGTTCTTGGAGAAGGTCAGCAAATGGCCCTCAGGAGGACTGGCACCATACGAGACCAGTTTAAGTCAGTCCAACCACAGCAGAGCTGTGCAAGTGTGCCCAGATCCCTGAGGGCAGTGCCTGGGCTGGGATGACAAAGGATCTGCCCCCAAGAGTTCTGGGTCCCTGGAGCTCCCGGCTGCTACCCCTGCCCTCTGAAGAGCAGGAGCAAGCTGTGGATACTGACTCTCTGCCTCTAGGACAAGCTATTGCTCGACGACTGAAACCATTTGGTGTCCAGAGATTTCTCTACACGGGGCGCCAACCCAGGCCTCAGGAAGCAGCGGAATTCCAGGCAGAGTTTGGTGAGTAAAACTCTGATTTCCACTGGAGTTCCACCTGCTCCATTTTGAGAGAGAGAGAGAGAGAGAGAGAGAGAGAGAGAGAGAGAGAGAGAGAGAGAGTGTTAATGGTGTCATTTGTAGGCATAATGCAAGGGCTTGAGGTATCTGAGGACTTTATGACTACTGGCCTGCCTCTCAGGAATGTGGGCATTTGCTCCATGTGTGGGCAGATCCCACAGTGTGCTGACCCAAGAAAGCCAAACTTTGAATTTCCTTAACTGGTGAGCACCAGCCTAGCCTCTGTGTGCCTGGTTTGAATGGATCCAGGGATGATGCCATGTGGGGGGCTACACAGCCTGGTGAACATAGAGGCAGGCTGCATCCCCACCTCCTTGCCCTTGACACATCTAGGCCTGAAGGAGATGAAGGCTGGAATGGCCTGGATCCCAGACTCTTGATCTAGATCCTGCCTGAACTGTAGTCCTCCATGATTGTGATTGCACAGTAAGGGCTTTAACAGCCAATCCATCTCTCCAGTGCCTCTCTCTACCTTATTTACTTAAAAAAAAAAATCATTTATTGTGTGTTGTGTGTGCACACATAAAAAAGCACACATGTAGAAGTCAGAGACAACTTGCAGGAATTGGTTCTTGCCTTTTACTATGTAGGTTCAAGGGACTGAAGTCAGGTTGTCAGGCTTGTGCCCTTACTCACTGAGGCATCTTGTTGGCCCCTCCACCATATTTTTTGATAAGGTCTCACTATACCTACAACTCATTTTTCACATGAGTGCTGGAGATCTGAACTCAGGTTCTCATGTTTATGAGGCAGGTACTTTACTGAGCCATCTCCCAGCCCTGTTTTTGTTTTTGGAGATGGAGTCTCATTATGTAGCCAAGGCTAACCTCAACGTCAAGACAGTCTGCCCACTTCAGCCTCCCCAGTCATGGGATTACAAGTATATGCCACCATACCCAGCATCCTGGGATTTCCTTTGTGGGGCAGGGGTGAGGGAACCACATCACTCTGTAGGTCTCTGCCATCTTGCTGTCCCTTGCTGGGACTCAGCCTCTGATGGAGCTCTGTTCTCCCTCAGTGTCCACCCTGCAGCTAGCTGCGGAATCTGACTTCATTGTAGTGGCCTGCTCCTTAACGCCTGCCACCAGGGGGCTCTGCAACAAGGACTTCTTCCAGAAGATGAAGAACACAGCTGTGTTTGTGAACATCAGCAGGTAGGTAGCTGAGGGCTGCCCACAGCCCTGAGTTCCCTAGCACCTCTGGAGAAGGTTGTGCCTGCTGCTGTGATCTGGGGTTTTTATCCATGGGAGTCAGTAATGAGAGGCCTCAGGCTGAGTTGCCCATCTCTGAAAACTAACGACCAACCAACAGCTCCAATACAGGAAAGGCCCTTTGAGAAAAGGGAAGGGACAATCATTCAGAGCAGTAGCCCAGCCTTGCTCAGGGCTTGGCTCACAGTAGTGTGGTTCTGAGACCAAAGACCTGGCAGGCTTACTTTCCTCTGCTACAGAGGGGCCTATAGAGGGTCTTTCAGAGGCTGACTATATGCTACTGAACTTGGCCTGAATTCTGTGATGGTTTGAACCTTTGTGCTCTTGAGGACACAAACTCTAAATCTCAAGTTATTATGAGTACCTTCAGGCACTGGGCAGGTACTGGGGGCAGATCTCCCCTCCGTGCCTTCCTAACACCTTCATGGTTGGCACGCTTTGAATCTTTTCCATTGTTTTTAAGACAGACTTACTCTGTAGCCCAGGCTGGCCTTGGGCTTGGACGCTTTCTGCCTCAACCTCCAGAGGACTAGGATTATAGGTGTGTGCCACCATGCTGAGCTCCTTTGAACCTTTAATCTGTTTTGAGAAAGGGATTAGATGAGGCCAGCCACCTCAAGGGCTTATGTGCCCCAAAGTGGAAGTTACCAGTGTTCAGCTACAGAGGAGTGTGACATGGATGTGGCTGAGTGCTGGCTACAGACTCCTGGGCCCTGCCCTGCCCTGTTCATGTGCAGTGCCTAAGTACTCTAACAACCCTCTACCCCCTAGCCCCCCCCACCCCCAAGCCTTCTGGAGAGTTGCATTTCTTCCCTGCCTTACAGAGGAGCCAGAGGCCCAGGAATGTCTAAGACACTTGCTTAGGGTTCACACGTGGCAGGGCCAGGTTAAAACTGGCATGAGAAAATGTAGTTGCATTCTAAGATTTTTACTTTTTGTTTTATAATAATTTTTATTATTTTTATTTTATGTGTATGAGTGTGTTATACGGGTGCATGTATATGAATTCACCCATGTCGTGCAGTGCCTTGGAGGTCAGAGAGGGCTTTGGATTCCCCTGGAACTGGAGTTAAGGACAGGTTATAGCTGCCATGTGGGTGCTGGATCCTCTGCAAGAGCAGTCAGTGCTCTTAGCCTCTGAACCATCTCTCCAGCCCCGATTTTACTGTTTTAAAAGTCAGTGCCGCTGGGCGTGGTGGCGCACGCCTTTAATCCCAGCACTTGGGAGGCAGAGGCAGGCAGATCTCTGTGAGTTCAAGGCCAGCCTGGTCTATGTCGTGAGTTCCAGGACAGCTGGGGTTACAGGGAGACCCTGTCTCAAAAAAACCAAAAAAAAAAAAAAAAAAAAAGTCAGTGCCAGGTATGCGTAGAGTGGAAAAATACATTTCATGGGTCATTCTGCCCTCAAGGTGGAGGGACTGTGTAGGTCTCCATTGTCATCACTTTCATTTCTAGGGGAGATGTGGTAAACCAAGAAGACTTGTACCAGGCACTGGCCAGTGGTCAGATTGCAGCTGCAGGACTGGATGTGACCACCCCAGAACCACTGCCTACAAACCACCCCCTGCTGACTCTCAAGAACTGTGGTAAGAGCTCTTTCCAGTACACATGCATAGATGGCCTGTGATGTGTTGAGGGGGTCTAGGGTTGGAGGTGCAGCTGGCTGGAGCAGTGCTGACACAGAGGGGCACTCCCAGGGACTGTGAGGCTATTAGTGACTGGGATAGAACAGGAGGGACCTGCTCAATTGAGTACTCCCAAAGAAGTAGATCCCAGAGGTGAATGGGTTTGTAGCTGCTATTCCTGGGGAAAACCCATCACTAAATGGCTAAGAGTGTGAGAAGGCCATGGCCAGTGCCTACACTTGTGCCAGCCCTGCAGCTGCTCTCTCAGCAACAACCCCCGTTTGTTCTGCCTTGTGGGCAGAGAAGGGCCTTTGCTCACTCCATTTCTCTGCCCACTGCCCTGCCAGCATGAGATGCTGGAGGCTTGCTCCTTTCCTATCTTGCATGTAGCATCTCTGTCCCCAGCAGCAGCAGTTCTTTTCTGTTGTGGCTGGAGAGTCCAGTTTGAAGTTTTTCAAAGCTTAGCTCACCAGTCGTCAATGCCCCCCAGAGGGCTGAGTTTGGGCTCCTTAGTGGTCCTTCTTCAGCTTTAGGCATTTTAAGTCTCACCTCTGTCCCCTAGCCCTTGGGGTGGTACATGTATCTGGCTATTGCTACCTGTGCCAACAAGTACAGTAGCTCTGGTTTTCTGTTTGCAGTCTCCTGGAGGGACTGAGTCACTTAGATTGCCAGGCATACCCCTGAGGGCTTTTGCAGGTCTGGGCTGAAGCCTGAGACTGCACCCAACAGGCTCCTAGGTGACGCTAGTCTCCAGAGCACACTTTGGACATTTTGGTTGTTAGCCTTAGCCTTTAGACCCATGGCCTTAGTGCTTTCTTTTCTGCTTCCTCAGCTGCATTAAGTATTAGCGTTGTACTTGGTTAATAATTATGTTAAATCCTCTGTTCAAGAGCTTGTGTGGTTTCTGCCTCCAGACCCCCTGCGAGTCAACAGGGCTATGGGTTTCCCTCAGCATGCTGGAAGGGAAGCCCAAACATGCCCTTGCTATCTTCACAGAGAAAGCTCCCATTATTGTAGCCCTTGGCAATCTTCCTGTCCCTACCCCCATGCCAGCCTGCAAAGAACACTGGCTGTGATATGAGGGCTACAGCCTACAGCCAGGAAAGCTGGCTCTGTTCCCCAGGCCTGGAGTCAGCTCATGTCCCTACACTGCTTTGAAAGGTAGCTGTTTAGGGACAAGTCCTTTCTTGGCATGGGGCCAGAGGTGCCTATACCACCTAGCATTTCATCTTGGAGTTACTTCTGTATATCAAGCCCTGTGGTATCTGGTATGATGCCACAGGGTGTGGGTGGTGGCTGGCAAGCTTCTAAGCTGGCACCTGGTCTCACCATCTGGATGGGTACCAAGACCCCCTGTAGCCCACCATGTTTTTAGGGTATAATTTTTTTGTCTCATTTTGTGTCTGGGTCTCACCACCTGTTCCTCTGAACCCCAATCTGGGGAAGTGGGGTTCTTATATAGCATTACCACCCCCAGGGTTAGGGGGACAGAGGGATAGCGTGCATAGTGACAGGAAGAACAAACAGGAGTACTGAGGCAGGACCTTTATCCTATTTACTGGCAAACTGAAGTCTGAAAGAAGAGCCTGTTTTACAATCTTGGACCATTCTTCCATTTTCCTGTCTTCCTCTTCCTTTCAGTGATCCTGCCACACATTGGCAGTGCCACCTACAAAACTCGCAACACCATGTCCTTGCTGGCAGCCAACAACTTGCTGGCCGGCCTGAGAGGGGAGCCAATGCCCAGCGAACTCAAGCTGTAGCCAGATGGGCTGCCATGGGCTGGAGACACAGTACCCTAGAGTCTCACCAGACACATGCAGGCTGGACTTGGACTCAGGTGGGAGCCAGAGGAAGCATCCTCTGAATCGAGGGACACTGGTACTACTGGCAAATGGGCTTGCCACTTTGGAGGATGGACACATCCATGCCAAAAGCCTGTAATTCTACCATTAAATGATTTTCTGACAGACCGTCTGGACTTGTAACTGGGGGAGGGAGGGCACTAACAAAAACAGCATCTCTTATGTTTAACTCGGGGCATCCAGGGATCCATCTGCCTGGCTCTGCTTCCCATACAGCCCTCACACTTACCGTTTTAACCTTTAGCCCTTGCCCAAATTCTTTCCCTCTTCCCTCACTGGGGAGGGACAAAGCAGAACTCAGAAAAAAATGGTACCTGAACCCAATAACCTAGACCATGAGGAAGATGAAAAAGGCAGACACTAAAGGGGGAAGTTAACCTGGAGGACTGGGCAAGGTCAGTACTGTTCGTCAAGGATAATGGGAGGCAGTGGATTCGCAGCGTCAGGACTTACAGCCACATCTATCTGTGCTCCCTCTGCACCCCCACCCAGGTAGGTGCTCCTTCAATCACCTTTTCCGTCCTCCCCAGCACTGCCATAAGAAACCTCCCCTACATCCACAGTGCAGACAGGAAGGGTGTGGGGGAAGCAGAAATAACCATGTTATGGATGGAGAGCACGCCTAGCTTGAAGGCTTGGTTTGAAACCGTTCTTGTAGCAGGGCTAGCAGAGAGAACAATGTCCTAAGCAGAGAACACGTTTAGAAGCATAAATATGACAAATGTTTTATTTCAAAATCTGTTCTGACCAGCATAGCACCATTGACGGTGCATCTAGATCTTGATGTGATCACCAGAGTAGGTTGTACATGATTATGCCAGATATAATTAAGGCTAAAATCGAAAGTCAGGTCCCCAATACCAGTTAGAAAACTCCAAATCATAGGAACCCTGGGTCTGGTTTTCCAGGGACCCTTGGAATTCTTGAAGTGCTACATGTCCAAGGACACTGGCCCACAAGCTTGCTTCTCACACGTAGAGACTGACTACGAGGTAGATGAGAGATTCCAGGTCCATCTAGCAGTGGAAAGGCAGGCTCTGAGTGTGTCAGGGACAGGCCCCAAAGCAAAGTCCACTGTATCCAAGCTGGGGTGAGGAAGTAGGCTCTAGGCACCACCTCCTTTAGACAGAAGGGAAGGAGGGCTGCCACTGCTCTGCCCGTGGCACTAGCTCACCTGGAGCCAGGCAGGGCATCTCTTGTTTTCCATGTTGACCTACCTGATTCCCAAGATTAATCTCACAGGATACTGGTCCCTACCTCCTGAAGGTGACCCATGGCCCCTAATGGTCAGGAGGGGTTACAGGTTTCCATTTGGACTTTCCTACCTGGGAATCAGTTCACAGTAGATAGCATGCCCTCTCAGAACATTACAGGGTTAGCCACAGATGCATGGTCACAGCAGCTTAGGAGACACGCTCATTTTTGTTTTAGTAAATACATACTTGGCTTTCTAAACTGAAGAACTGAATTCTCTGAATTATGCACAATGGTTTGGTATCTCTGAAAAAGCTGAATAAAAAATAAATTCCTGTTCGTGCATAAACTAAACAAGTTCTACAGACAATGCATGAACCTGTACTGTTCCACTGGGTACACAGGAGCCAGGATATAGCCTACAAAGGGCACCAACAGACCTGCCAGCACAGTGTCAGCAGACAAGGCGGGGGGGGGGGCACAGGCCGTGGCAGAGAACCTAATGTACCTCCAAGAGGCTTGGATGCTACTGGGTAAACTCTATATGCTATGGGCTGCCTAACTCTTCTAGAGTCTGAAAAATATTAAGCCATGAACACTACTACATTTAGATTTCCGGTAACTTTAAACCCTGAGTATTGGGTTAAAGTTTAGGTGTAGCTTTTAAAGCATAGTATGTAGCAGTAGAATGGGGGAATGGAATAGTTTTGGGTTAGTTTAACTAAGCCCAGGAGAGATACCATATGGGGTACAGGAGTGAGAAGTAACAAAGCAAGAACAGCTTGTCCTCGGGTGGGATGTGCCAGACTGGATTGGTCTTCGATGTCTGGATGGAATGAAGGGCAAATGTACCATGAAAATCCCACAAAACAGGAGTCTACATTATCAGAACAAAGACAAACACTAGCTTTTTTCTGACTTCCAAATGGAATTGCAACATCGGTAACACAAGTTGGTTAAAATACTGCTAAGATCACACAGACAGAAACACCACCTCACTGTCACTCCCTACAAGTACATACTCCATTTACAACTTTGTTTTTAAAACCAGAAAAAAAAAACAACTCTTAAAACATCTATCCCACAGAGATATATTCAAAAGTATATACATCTGTTAGTCCTGGGGAATTCTCCCCTGGACCCAGTGTCAGCACCATCAGAGGGCAGTGTCTGGACTGCAACTCAGATAAAAATTAAGAATACAGCACTTTCAGAGGCCTAGGACTAGCTCAGGATACACTTTAAAGCATTTGTGGCAGACACGCACGTCCTCCAGGGCCTTCCTTTCAGACAGGCACCAAGTCACCACTGGTTACACATAAGTGCGTTTGCATCGCTGTACAGGGACACACTATTCCCATCAGAGGGTGCAGAAAATTTAATTAAATGCTTCACAGAGCTTTTAAAAATTGTTAAAAAATTTTTTTTGCATTTTCATTTTTAATTTTTAAATATGCCACTCTTAACATCAGTGACAAGCTACTTCATGACTGCGTTAGTCAACCCTAAGGAAAGACTTGGTTCCGCAGATAGCATCCTTCTCCCCAGGTGCACACTTCACTCAGAACAGTGTAGTGTAAGTGCTACACAGTTCTCAGCTTACTACTCAGAATCTGCAAAAGCCACTGGGCAGCTGAAGCCGAGTCCAATGGTCAGCTGCAGCCAACAGTGATTTTAGTTTCAGTCCCAGAACTGGCCTACACATTGTCTCACGAGGACAGATGGTTAGAGCAAAGTGCTGGGGAGGTTGCTGCTCTGCCAGCGCAAGCAGGTGGTCTTTGAGTGTTTGTACAGGTGGCTGGACTGACTGAACCTCTTGCCGCACTTTAAGCAGGCGTAAGGCTTTTCACCTGTGTGGACACGGATGTGCTTCTTGCAATCTGTCAGAGTCAGAAAGGTTTTACAGCAGATCTTGCAAGCATATTTGCGAGCTCCTTCCACGACCAAGACATTGTGCTCTGATAAGGCCTTCTTGCACTTTGACAAGACATCAGCAGATGCCCTGGTCAACTGTGGAGGGCCAGGCTGGGAAGGGTGGCCATTTTCAAATGAGGAGGTGGCCCCATTCATCATCAGCTGAGAACTGGCAGAGTTTTCAGGGATCTGTGAACTCCTAACGGAAGTTACAACTGGCATTTTTGGAGCAATGCGGCGGTAGTATGGAAAGTTACTAGCTCCTCCTCTTGGGGAACCCATCATTACCCTGGAGAAGGAAGAGTGAAGGCCCAGGCCAGACCTAGAAAAATCCATCCCAAACTGTTCCCCTTGGTAGCCTGAGGTCTGTACACATGGCAGCCCCATTACCTCCTGCATGGGCCTGACAAAGTGGGACTCTGCAGGCTCACTGAATGGGTTCTCCACATGGGAGCCAGGGGCAGAGGAAGGCCCGCCTGCAGGCCCAGCCTCTGGACTCAGCAAGTATGGGGCCTCGCCCTCCAGCCTGCAGTCACTGGTGGTGTTTGGGATATTATCATCGTTGCTCTGACTAGCGCTAAAGTTACCTCCCCGGCTCTTGTTAAGGAAATTTGAAATACTAAACGAGGACTTATGTTCTAAGTTATTTGTGACTTCCAAAATGTGGATGTCCCCTACCCTGTCTGTGCTGGACTGGGGATCTGAAAAACTCCGATCACTGCTTTCGGGGCTCAGGTCTATCTTCTCAGCACTGACCACAACTCCTTCCACCTCCACAGACTCACTGCCTTCTGCTTGGGAGGTCACATCGCTCACTTCGTCCTGCGGCTCAGGTGAGCTCAGGGGTTCAGATTTCACCACCACTCTCATGTGTTCCTTCTCCCCAAGGCCAACCTCGGGGTTTTCACACTGGAAACTGCTTTTCTCAGCTGCAGCTTCCTGCTCAAAGCTAGTCTCAACCTGAGTTGCACGAGAAGCCATGGACAGCTGGGCCAGGTTGCCCGCACTGTTGTCAGACTGGCTGGGCACCTGGGCATCTTCTTGAGCCCCAAAAGACTGGTCAAACATCATAGTGCTGTCTTCCTGGGTGTCAGCCATTCCATCAGGTTTAGGATTATCCACAATTTTCAGAGAATCTGGTGAAAAGAACTCCTCCCGAGAATGAACCCCCGAAGGCCCGCTCTCTGGAGTGACCTCTGAAATGGCAGACTCATCCATGGAGGGTCGGAGGCGCTGCCGGGCCCGCTCCTCTGCAGACTGCTTCCGCTTGTGAAGGCGTCTCATGGGGAAGGGTGTGCGCTGGTCCAGGGTGCTTCGCAAGGAGGAGCTCATGGGGGCTGGTGGCTCCTCGCCACTCTGGCTGGAATTGAGGGCCGAGCTCACGATGCTCAGTCCCAGCTGCTGCAGCATATAAGAGCGCTGCATGCGGGCACTCTGCTCCTGAACACCTCGCTCACTGGGGGGAGACATGGGCAGCGTCCTTGTTGTCAGGTAATGTTTACATGCCTTAACAACAGAGTTCAAATGCAGGTGAGAGGCTGCCAATAAGACATCCATAACGTTGCTCTCCCCCAGCATGAGGGTGGAGGTATACATCATGTCAATCAGTGCAGCAAAGGCCTCTGCTGTCACTACCTCACTATCCAGCTGGATCATGTTCATCGTCTGATCTCCCTCTGCCACTGAGAACAGAGCTCGGAAATGTGTGCTGCATGCTGCCAGCACAGAGCGGTGGGCTTTAAAATGCCTGTTCCCCACTACGATGACACAGTCACAGAGCTGGCCGTGAAGTCTCTGGTAGTTCAGCTGCTGAAAGATCTGTTCAAAGTGACCAGGAAAATCCATTGTCCTGTAGAATAAAACAAAGAAAGAATGCGATAAAAGAGATGTATGGAACTGGCAAGATGGCTTAGTTAAGGCAGCTGCTGCCAAGCCTGATGACCTGAGTTCAATCTCTGGGCTCCAAATGGTAGAAGGAGGCAACCAATTCCTACAAGCTGTATTCTGACCTCTATATACACAAGTGTACACAAGCACACACATGCATACAGAAAATAAATAAAATGTAACTTGAAAATAAAACAATAGCTGGGTGTGGTGGCACACACTTTGAATCCCATCACTCAGGAAATAAAGACAGACAGATCTCTGTGGAGTTTGAGGACAGCCTGGTCTACATGAGCTCCAGGTCAGTCAGGCTCCATGGTGAAACCCTGTCTCAAAAAGTCTAAATAAATAAATAAATAAATAAAAAATTTAAAGTGTGGCTGGTCATGTCTGGAGCTTTTAGAACTTGTGACATCTCTCTAAGAACCTGACAAGAGGGGGCCAGAGAGGTGGCTCAGTGGTTGAAAGTACTGACTGCTCTTGCAGAGGACCCAGGTTCCGTTCCCAGCACCCATATGGCAGCTAACAACTGCCCATAACTCCAGTTCCAGGAAATCTGATACCCTCTTCTGACCTCCATGAGCATTGCATGACACGGGTACACTTACATACATGTAGGCAAAACACTCATACACATAAAATAATAAAATTAAAAAAAAAAGAAGAACCTGACAAGTATAGCACAGAAGCCAATCTGGCTTTCAGCTTAGAGTCATGTACATATATCAACTGGTTACCAGGCTCCCATCACCTTTCATGTGACTCACTTAGAACACTGAGTCTGTGTTGGAAAAGCCCAATATATAGGTGAAGGCTTATTTACCCCATAGAACTTTGTTAGCACTTGGCATTTCCCAAGAACAACAAATAACAAAAAATTCCAACAGCCTTAGCAACTTCAGTGAACAGAGTTAATCAACAGCAGGGAAGATTTCTAGTTGCAGATAGATGGCAGTAGATTGTACTCATGCATTCCCCTTCCCCATTTCCCTCCCCCAGTCCTGACCCCTACAAAAAAGACATTGTATTTTGGGGGTTTGCTTAAAAGGCCAATGGGGTGGGGAACGAGAAAGAAGACATCAATAGCATTTTTGAAATCATGGAGCATGTGAATGAGTGCTGACTCAGCCCAGCACACCTAAGTGCTAACTCATAAACTGGCAGTGGATAAAGAAAATATGGATCCTTCTAAAGGCTTGGGAACAGGCGGCCCAGGGACCAGGAGAAGCAGAGGGTACAGATGAGACTGAGGAGGCCCAGATAACAGGTACACTAAAGGTAAATGTACAGGGAGATTAATGCTGACCTAAAGCTGGATGGACAGGGATCTGGGGGAGTATGTGATAGAATGTTATCAAGTTAAATTGTGATCACAGTTACACAACTCACAAATTTCCTACAGGTTTGTGGATTATATAAAAACAATGTTTTGTTTTAATACATCATAACTCAAGAAAGCCCAATAAATTGTACCTCAATAAAAAAATAATAGAAAAAGTAAAGAGGTAACAAATAAGCTTTCCCCATGTTTTCAGAGCTCATTTAGAACTATAGAGGCCTCTACAAAACTAACCAAAATGGGGGGCTGGAGAGATGGCTCAGCGGTTAAGATCACTGCTCTTGTAGAAGACTCCGGTTTGATTCCCAGCACCCATAGGGTGGCTTACAATCATCTGTAACTCCAGTTCCAGGGGATCCTATGCCCTCTTTTGGCCTCTGCAGGCATTGTACAACATGGATGCACTTACTAACAGGCAGGCAAGCACTCATACACATAAAGATAAATAAAAATTGTTTTATGAGACAGGGTCTCCCTGAAGTCCCAACTGGCCTAAAACTCACAATGTAGACCAGGCTGGCCTTGAACTCACAGAGATCTGCCTGCCCCTGCCTCCCAAGTGCTCAGATCAAAGGTGTGTGCCACAATGGCCAGCATAAATAAAAATTTTTTTTAAAAAAAAAAAACAACTAAAAAGCATGCATACTTATTTATCTATGTGTTTGTGTGTGTGCACATATGGGGGCACACATGCCACAGTGTACAAGTACAGGTCAGAGGACAACTTGAGGGAGTCAGTTCTCTCCTTCTATCATGTGGGCCCTG